TTGTTAAAGGGGCGTGGCCAGGCCTCAAAGTTGAGCTTCACGCCATATATTTCTAAACGTTATAACTTTCAACTTGAATGACAGATTTGCACCAAAATTGGCATGAGTCATCCCTCTCCCATGCCCGACGATACCCTGAGGTCATATTGTGACGTCATCAAAGCCCCGCCCCCTCAGAACAGGAAGTGACTTTTTTGGCTTGGAATGGTCCTTCTTTGACACCCTTCACATAATCAGGATGATCCTGTGTTAGAAGACAGATAAGATGGTCTGACTTGATTTAAACAACAAAACAGTTATAGCTGGAGAATGTGGGCGTGGCGCCATGGCGAATTAAAAAGTGACGCCGTTGCAATACGTTTGGCTCTAAATTGGACAGATTTGAACCCAGATGAACCAAAATCACTATGATTGATCATTATCCACCTCTGAACAGGTTTCCATGATAAGTGGCCAAGAGCCTCCACAGCGCCACCTACATTCTTCTTACAGTTATATCTCAGTGATACAACATCCGATCTGAACCAGATTTTTGGTGCGTCATTACTGAGAACTGATGGACATTTTAGTTGTGTTGTTTAATATTTGACTCAAGGGCGCCCCCTACATTATTCAAACTGTTTTGTCTCAGTGATATATCAGCCGATCTGCACCAAATTTATGGTGTATTATTATTTAGCCCTGGTGGACACAGTAGTATAGTTTTTTAAATTTTGACTCTATAGCGCCCCCTACAATCTTGCAACAGTTATATCTAAATGATATATCATCCGATCTGCACCAAATTTTTGGTATATTATTATGTAGCCCTGATGGACACATTAGTAATGTTTTTTAACTTTTGACTCAAGAGCGCCCCCTATAATATTCCAACCCTTATATCTCAATGATATATCATCCGATCTGCACCAGATTTTTATGGCATAATGTGTGACCATGTCTAAACACATTGTTAGTGTTGTTTAAAATTTGACTCAAGTGCGCCCCCTAGATTATTCAAACTGTTATATCTCAGTGATATGTCATCCGATCTGGACCAAATTTTGGGTGCATCATTACTGAGAGCTGATGGACATTTTAGTTTTGTTGTTTAATATTTGACTCAAGGGCGCCCCCTACATTATTCAAACTGTTATATCTCAGTGATGTGTCATCCGATCTGGACCAGATTTTTGGTGTGTGATTAGTGAGCACTTAAACACACAATGGTATTGTTGTTTTACTTTTGACTCAAGTGCGCCCCCTAGGTAAATCAAACTGTTATAGCTCAGTGATATATTGTCCGATCTGCATCAGATTTTTGGTGCTTGACTAGTGAGGACTTATGGACGCAGTGGTGTTGTTGTTTAATATTTGACTCAAGTGCGCCCCCTAGATAATTCAAACTGTTATATATCAGTGATATATCGTCCGATCTGCACCAGATTTTTGGTGCTTGACTAGTGAGGACTTATGGACGCAGTGGTGTTGTTGTTTAATATTTGACTCAAGTGCGCCCCCTACATTATTACAATAGGTATATATGCGGTCGCAGCTTATGTCAAAGGTTCGGCGAATGCGCACTCCGGAGAACGGGCGCGTGACGGTAGCGTGAGCGTTCTCGTTGGCGACCGGGAAGGGTCGCTGCAGTTCCCGCGGTCGCCATAAGGCC